TGCCTAAGGTCGTGGAGAAAGGCTGGAAAAGTAGGAACACGTCCAGAGGGACCATCAAAGCTTAAGTGGGGGAGCGTGCTAAACTAACAAAAGTGTACCCCTCAAGATACATGATTAACCTAATGATTATGGCAATAGGTTGACATTATTCAATGGTTCCACTTCTTAAATCATCACAACCAAGTGAGAAGAGACGTGAGAAAAAGAGAGGGTTGACCATCCTCGGTGGCTTAATTAAGTATTGTCCACTAAGGAGTTTAGTGCACAGGATGTGTACGGCCAGATTGACCAACACTTTGATTTCGGGGACGAAATCCAATTAAGAGGGGGAGAGTTGTAACATCCCAAACCTCGGTTAATTTGTAAATCAATTCGGTTTGATGAGGAATCAAGAATTTCAACCATACTCGAAGAAATTTCGTTCTCAAATAATGGTTTGAGAAAATAAAGAATATTCTGGAATGATGAACAAGAGAATTCGAACAAAACTTGACTCCATAAGTTAGAAAATTCTTTCACGATCACGTAGAATTTTACGGAAGTAAATTTGGATGCCAAACGAGTGAGATATGACATTTTGAAGCCTAGACTTCGTTATTGAAATAACGTACGTGTCGACACTAATTTGGGCACATCTTCTTCGTTTGGAATCGAAACGACGAGCCGTTTGCGCTCACACGATCGTATCAACAAGGAGAGGTTTTATGAAGGAACAAATCCAGAATAGAGTATACCAATCAAGCCTCGTTTTTTTATTGTCCATCGGTGTACAAATGAATGGAAAGAAAAGTTGCCATTATTATTATGGGAGGTGGGAGCTATCACCCCATTACTTTTGCAGGGGAGATGTAGGGAGAATTATTAGGGAGACAAGAGTAGAGATAAGTGGGCTCTCTCCACCTAATTTCTGCACTAAGTAAAGGCACGGTTGTAGAGCTTAAATGAAAGGAGGAAGAGTCTCCTTTTGTGCAATCACTACACCACTACCATTACAGACCATCATATGCGAACCAAAGAGAGTGTGAGAAAGAAAGAAAGAAAAGAGGAAGAAACCACTCTTCTGTGGCCTGGGTTAGGGTAATATGGAGGTCCGGAAGCCAAATACGAAGTCAGAATCGCCATTGGAGGTTCGTAGAAGCTCATAGGAGGCTCGTCGAAAAGTTGCGTCGGCGGCACCGGCGTCGTCGACTTCAACAAAACTCCAAAAGGCTGGTACCATGACAAAGAGGACGATCCCAGGAGCATCCCAGTTTCGACGAAATTAAATTTGGAGGTCTGTAGATACCTCGTCGGAGCTTCGCCGGAACGTCGCCGGAGTGTCGCCGGATTCTGGAAAAATAAACTTCAACAAAACTTCAAAAGATGAATATGGTTGCGAAGAGGGCGATCTCAGGAGCGTCACGGTGTCGACGAAATCGAATTCGGACGTCGGATGAGGGAGAACCGAGTCTCCCAAGTTTGAGGAAGAATATGTCAACCATCCAGGTACCATGTCTGGTAAATCGAAAGGTTAAAGGACCTCTCTGTAATTTTCCTACAGAGACGGGTCAACCTCTTTTTAGTTGACTGGTAAATATCGTATTTAGTCCCTGGTACTTTGAGTACTAACGGAATTCGTATTTCGTTCATAATTCGTTCGTTTGACGTCCAAACGACGAACCGTTTTCACCTACAGGATCGTGAGAACGAGGAGAATATTTTGAAACCAAGATCTGGAATTTCCAGAGCTTTCACAGAATCGGATTTCGTCATAAATAAGGTGTGTGGGCTTACGGTAAAAGGGAACCGGAATTACGTGTTTATTTCTAAATACGCATGATTGAGTTGATGATTAATGATTATGATGGATTTGTGATTGGTTCATGGTTGTGATCTTGGATGAAATTATTGATGAAGTTAACTGATTGTTATGATAATAATTATTATTAATCTCGTATTGGAATTGTTGATGTATTTGGTGAACTCCGAATATTTTCCGAAAAGGTCTATTGAGATCAGAATAAGGAAAGGAAATTTGAGGAATCTTGAGACGACATTAGTCATGATATATTATCATGACAATGATTATAGTGATAATAATTGACTTTGCGGAATTAATTGAAGTTATGACGATAAAAGGGTGAAATTGGGTATTTATAAATTGGATTAGTATATGAAAAGGAATTCTGGTCAGAATAATTACATCAAAGGATTTGTGATCTTTGTTGGATTTTTTGGATGAATGAAACCGGTTTCTACGTGGTTTCGTTACTAAAGGGAACGTATTATGATTTTCAGAATAGTGGTGATTAAGAGAAAATTATTTAAACTAGAGTGTGAGTTCAAAGTGATTACCATGAGTAATTTTATCTTGGATTTAATTTGATTTACGTTTTATGATTAATTTTGAGAAATGGTTAATTGAGTATTTAATTGAAATATTGAAAATAGTCTTATTAATGAATCATGACGAACTATGATTTAGTTTGTACTTTAAGAAATAATTATTGAGAGATGTGTTATTAGGGGAGACCTTTTCAAATGAACTTTGATAATCATGAGAATTATATATATGAGTATGGTCCTTAGAATGGTTTCAAGTGATTAATAGAAATTCATGAAGATGAGATTTTGATCATAATATATTTAGTTGCTATTTTGTTATAATTAATTAATGGAAGATATGGATAAACCGATGTATTTTAGATTATATGGTTCGTATGATAAAATGATTTATGATGAATGAAATTATATTGTTCATGATATATGATTATGATATGATGATGATGATAATGACGATACGGATATTGATTGCTAGTGATGCGATTGACGTGTATGATTATGACGTGATTAGAATATCGATTGGTATAAATGTGATTGGTAATTATAAATATTACTGAGATATTTTGTGACAACGTTGATATGATGAATGCTTTGATTAATGATGATGCGGATGAAATATTATCATGATCGATTTGTATTTGATGTGTTAAATGGTTACGATGAGTGAATGAAGTATTGATAAATTGAGTACTTGGTAGATTTGTCACGTTTGATTGAAGAGAATGAATTACTTATATCATTGAGAAGATGATGATTATATTGAGATCATGCAATACATCAAAGTATGCATAGATGATGTGAGATATGCATGGACTGGGAATATCAATGGGACGCTATTGATTTCTTGGATCGATTGAGATATGATGGAAGAGAGAAATTGATATTGTTTGATCATGTTAAATCACATAGACATAGAAGGGCCTATGCCTACCCCTATGAGATTGATTGGGCTGCGGTCCTGATGAAAGGATTTATGATAATCCTAGATTGGATGAGATTGTGGTTTTTGATATAACCACTGAGATGATGAGCTCGAGCGGGGTGGGCGTATGGTGACCTTAGCGCGCAAATTAATAATAAATGGAGAGTCTGCATTTCATGCATTGCATATGATATATATACGATGGAGATGATTTCCATGAAGGAAATCGTGAAGTGATATTTGATTGATGATTGATTGAATGATTGATATGGTTAATGCCAAATTGGTGATTTGATTTTGGATGAATGATTGATATGGTCAATTCCAAATTGGTGATTTGATTTTGGATGAATGATTGATATGGTCAATTCCAAATTGGTGACTTGATTATGGATGAATGATTGACATGCTTGATGCTTAAATGATGAGTTGACTTTGAATGAAGGATTGATATGATGGATTCATGAGTTGAGGTAAGTTTACGATTTTATGTCGATATACGACTTGATTAATGAAAGCCATACCATGAGGAATTGGGTTAAAGATGAATTTGGATTGATGACCTAGAAAGAAATCTAGAGATTAATGAGATTTTTGTGTGGCATGATAATTTGTTGATGATGTGTTTTTAATCAACAAGATGTGATGATGTGTTGGCATGCTAACAATAGTTTTGCCGTATAGGCCAGGTCCACACACTCAGCTTAGTAGCTGACCCATTTTTCTTTCTAGATGTGACAGGTGTGATAAATTGAGGATGACTCTGGCACTGCACAATGATCGATGGAGGATTTTGATTTAAAAGGTTTTTCACCTATTGGTGTATTCTAGAATCCTTATTTCACGATTCGGGTTTTGAGCATGCATGATAGTTTACAATGGTCAAGCATGATCATTAACTTGAGTTGAGTATGAATGGAGTACATAAGATTGATAGTCTGGGTTTGGTGAATCTTGAACTTGACGAAGAGGGATTAATGAATTGAGAATATGATTTTTGGTAAATTGTTATGATGAGTTGAATTTTAAACATGTGAAAATGATGTGGATGTGAGTTGAATCGAGATTTTGAATACGTAAACCCCGAGTGATTTCCGCTGCGCGGTTGAACCATCGGTTCGACTCATGATTTTAGGGTGGGGTGTTACACCAACTAATATCCACAATCAACCAACTAGTATTCAATATGGATACTCTTATGTGTTATCTGGATACTAATTATGTGTTGTTTGGATATTATTCAGTGTTGTCTAGATATTAGTTTGTGAATTTGGGATAATAGTTGATTCATGATGGATATCAGTAAGCAAACTTTGAATACTTGTTTGTGCTCTCTAGATACTTTAGTTTGTGAATTTGGGATAATAGTTGATTCATGGTGGATATCAGTTTGCAAAATTTGAATACTTGTTTGTGCTCCCTAGATACTTTAGTACTTGGATATTAGTTCATGTATTTTGGATATCAGTTAGTATCTGCTAGATTAACTTTCCCCAAATTTTGGCCAGACTACAACCGCTGATCTGGTATCCAAACGGGCCTCGGAAAGGCCATAAACGACTCTCAAATTTCCCCAAATTTTAACCAGACTACAACCGCTGATCTGGTATCCAAACGGGCATCGGAAAGCCCATAAACGACTCTCAAATTTCCCCAAATTTTGACCAGACTACAACCGCTGATCTGGTATCCAAACAGGCCTCGGAAAGCCCATAAACGACTCTCAAATTTCCCCAAATTTTAACCAGACTACAACCGCTGATCTGGTATCCAAACAGGCATCGGAAAGCCCATAAACGACTCTCAAATTTTAAAGCCCGCGAATGATTCACAACTGTTTGAAAGAGTAGTTCGACTTCGACTGGAAACATCAAATTCAGTTTTAAGTTTTAACTACGTAGAACACAGTTAGCAGCTGCTAGACGATTGTTGAGAAGACGGATTAAGCCTTCTTACACGAGACATGATGATGGTTAAATCCAGTTCGTGATACATCATGATCTCAGAATGTCCCACAAAGTTCTACCATGAAAGATTACAGTCCATTTTGCTCCTTTTCCTAAGCCTCAAAACTAACGAGGAAAGACCAAAGCCTCTTCACTTACACAACGGCATAACACCATCTCCAAAACTGGAATCGAAAAGGGTTTCACGAACTACCGCTTAAAAACCACCCTACAACTCATCCTTAACCTCAGACGCCTCTATTTCGAAATCATCAACTTTCGTGGCACCAGAAGCAGCTTCTTCCTCCTTGGTCTCGCTTTCCTCCACCTCTTCCTCCTCTTCCACTGCAGCATCTGGACTAATGCTCAAACTCGTCTTCACCGAGCCATAAATCCTTGACGCGAAATCCTTAGGATCGCTAACCATGAACCCGCTCTCCACCAGAGCCGTCTGGTACATCAGCTGAGCTGTTGCCTTGATGCCCTCATCCTGTCAGAAAAACAAAGAAAACATCAGCATTTTATATTCCTCAAACAGAACTATGTTACTACTGAAAAGAGTTTAGGCTGCCTCTGCCTGCCATCTCCCACGCATTACCTCAGGGTCCTTGGCGACTCTCTCGCGAAGCTCTTTAACGATTGGGTGCCTTGGATTGACCTCAAGCACCCTCTTCCCTCTCATGTAACCTTGCTTGCTGGCGTCAGACAGCGTCTGAGAGTGCATGATCCTCTCCATGTTGCCGCTCCACCCGTACTTGTTTGTTACCACCACGCAGGGTGTGTCCGCCAGACGGTTGCTGACCTTCACGTCGTCGACGTTCCAGCTTGCCAAGGCAGACTTCCACCACTTGGTCAGATCCTTGAACGCTTCCTTCAGTTCTTTGACACCGGAGTCGGCGATTTTCACTCCTTCCTTGGACACGTTCTGGAACTTCCTGTCCTCGTAGTCCATCAGATATTGCATCAGGTACTCGTCAACAGGGTCGGTGAAGTAGATCACCTCGTATCCCTTCTTGATCAGCCTCTCGAGGAATGGGGACTTTGCGAGCTGCTCTTTGTCTGATCCGGTAATGTAGAAGATGTCCTTCTGTCCCGACTTCATTCTCGAAATGTACTGGTCGAGTGAGGTGAGCTTGCCGTCCGACTTCGAACTGTTTATGGAATTTAGTTTTTGTAGTTAACTACTGTTAAATGAGCAATGAAATTAGCTTGTTGATGAAGCTACGAATGGTGAAGAGAGACTTACCTTTCGAATCGAAGAAGCTTGGCCAAGCGATTCCTGTTGGCAGCATCCTCGATAATGCCAAGCTTGATTGATTTGCCGAACTCATTCCAGAACCTTGCGTACTGGCCTTTCTTCTCGTTGTCGCCGGATTCCTCAATATCTGTATGCCATTAGGATTAGTGTTGCGCATGTCAAGTTACTGTAAGGGCGGATGGCAATCTTAGCAATCATATCGTATGTAGTTTATCCATTTCGAACTCCTAAGTGAAACTCGGCCCCGTTCAGAAACGACCATGCATTGTGAAAATAGAGGAGTTTACGAGACATGTGAGTTCGTTAAAGATTATAGCACAGGGATGTGTTCGTTAAAACAATACGGTACAAGGACCAGATAATCATTAACCCAAATGATCTAGCTTAGCACAAGTTGATAACAGTCATTACCTTTCTTGTCCTTGTCGGTTGACTCGTCAGGATCTTCCTCGTACAGTTTTCGGATCATATCAAGAGCCTTACGGATGAGTTTCTTTTTAATAGTTTTCAAGCTGCTATGTTGTTGAAGCATTTCTCGTGAAACATTGAGGGGCAAAGTGTCGGAATCAACCAGACCCTGCCGAAAGTGTAAGTCAAGCAAGCATCAGCACTCAACGTTCAAAGAGTGAACTTTCGGAACAAATGAAGATACTCAGAAAAATCCTTATGAGTATCTACCTTCAGGAAGTTCAAGTACTTGGGTAGAAGTTCGTCAAATTCATCTGAGATGAAGACACGTCTGACATACAACTTCAGGTTGGACTTATTGTTGTTGTAATAGCTTTCGTAGAGATCATGAGGAGCCTTCGGAGGAACAAAGAGGACCGCTTTGAATTCAACATCACCTTCTGCGGAGAAATGGCTCCAGGACATAGGCTTCTCTTCACCAAAATCCTATCAAGTAAAAGAAACCCAGAACAAAGTATCAGCGAAAACATAGGAAGCTATAATTTAGAAGGGTATCTTGGTGCACTCTTGATTGATTCATGTGAAATACCTTGGCGAGAGAGTGGTAGAACTTGGTGTACTCTTCATCAGTGACATCTTTTGGACTCCTCAGCCATATGGCTTTAACATCATTCAAGAGCTCCCACTCTTGAGTGGTTTCCTTGACTGTCTTTGTCTTTGGCTTGTCTTCCGATTCTTCATCGTCTCCCTTCTCGGTGTCCTCTTCTTCAGCTGTTATATAGTAGAACAAACATGAAACAAATGAGAAAGAAGTGAACTATCACTATTGCGAGTTAATCAATGGCAGAAAGTTCCACAGATACACACGTTTGTCTTCTTCCTCAGTTGAGTCATCCTCATCAGCAGGGACCTCCACATCAATCTCCTTAGTTGACCACAGATTGATAGGGAAGTTGATAAACTCGGAGTATCTCTTCACAAGATCCTACGGTGATAGAAAAAAAACAGTAACATTCGAGTTAATAATATGTTACTCGAAATAGGAAACTTATTATTGTATCCACTCCAGTAAGTCATACTTACTTTCAGTTTGCTTTCTTCCAAGTATTCCCCTGCTTCCTCTCTGAGATGCAGTCTAATCTCAGTACCACGTCCCAGTGGTTCATTCCATGTATCCTCAGAAATGGCAAAAGCTCCATCAGCCTTTGACTCCCACACATACCTGATACATTAGATCACTAAATTAACCTTCTTGCAGAAACAAATCATGGAGTTCAGACAACTACTCAAGAAAAAAGTTACTCACTGTTTGTCGTCATTATGTTTGCTAATGACTTCGACATAGTCAGCAACAAGATACACAGAGTAGAAACCAACTCCGAACTGCCCAATTAGGTTCAAGTCCCCGCTAGTTTGCATTTTCTCCACAAATGCTACAGTGAAAAACAATTTAGTCCAAAATTATCAAAGACTCGAATTGGGTACATGGAAGAAACCAAGTTCAGAACATTTGAACATCCAAAGCTACCTGAAGTTCCAGACTTGGCTATGGTTCCCAAGTTCTTGATCAAATCCTCCTTGGTCATACCAATACCTCTATCACGAATAGAAAGAATCTTCTTATCTTTGTCCAATTTCATCTACATTCGCCAGCCGCATACCAAACAAAATCAGCATTCTATTCTGAAACTATGTTCACAATGAAGTAGGTAGCTTAACTACAAACACTAACCTGAATCTCAAGCTTGGCAGTATCGCCATCGCCCAGAACTTCTTTATCCGTAAGAGAAAGGAATCTGATCTTGTCCAACGCCTAGAATTCAAGCCAGATTCCAATTCAAATCACGCGAGTTCAGGATCTCAACAATAGTAATTTCGCACCAAAAAGAAAAACGTTCAAATCTAACGAGCTAAAAGTGCAAACTAGACAGAGAGCTCACATCGGAAGCGTTGGAGATCAACTCCCTAAGGAAGATGTCCTTGTTGCTATACAGAGAATTGATGAGAATATCCATCAGCCGAGACACCTCAGCCTGGAACTCGAACTTCTCCGCACTGCTGCGCAGCGTTTTCTTCATCGACTCCGACTCCCTGCCATCCGCCGCAGAAATAATCATTCAGAACTCCAGCAGATTAAGAAATCGCCAGACATTGCCAAAAACTCCAATCAAACTTACCTCTTCACGACGTCGGAATCCGTGGCGGAACCATGAGGAACGGCGCCGAGCTTCTCCTCGACCTTCGGAGGATCGGCCGGACTCTGCGAATCGCCTTCGGCATTCGCTCTCAAGTTCCGTCCTGAAGTTAAGGATAAACACACAGATCTTCGATCAGAAAAAATCTCAGCAGAATGAGAGAGAGAGAGAGAGAGAGAGAGACTGAATCAATAGGTGAAAAGTGCAAGAGAAGACACAACAGCTGACCTTGATCTGAGATCAAGCAGAGGAGGCAGAGGAGAATCAAGGCGGAAGGGACTGTCCACTTCCCCATCGTCGGGAGAGATATACTCGATGCTCTCACTGGTGTTGATTTCTTTCCCTCACTGGAGTCTTCGAATCAAAAAAATGCTCAGTCGAACTCGAGACTGGTGTTTTTTTTCCAGCCAAGGAGTGTGGTTTTAAGGAGAAGAGAACCCATGAAGGTTTTTGAGCATTTTCAGATCTCCACAGTCATTGTTTTTTTCCTTTTTCCTTCGCTTGGATTGGGTTAAAATCTTTATGGTGACAGCGTGGAGGATCGGACGGCAGATTAGTGTGGTAATCACACGTGGCAGGCTGCGAATGGCGGGTGCATCGCGGCTTGACGTGGAGGAAATGAGCGGTGCAGGCGGGCCCATGGGTGACTTTAGAAAACCCAATTCGCGGGTGACCGCAAACGAGGTTGCCGCGATGGATGATCGAACGGGCCTCGTGACGTCGAGTTGAGCACGTGGCGCGATATAATTGGAAGTTTGTTCTGTGTTTGTCGTGGAAGCCTGGAAGGAGCTGATGTCTCTGGGGCAATGTTCGGATGAGGGTTACCGTAAGGCGGAAGGTAGGTTGGAGTACTAGGCGTTTCCGGCTTTTTGTGATTTTATCCAACGTAGTAGTGCCCATGGGCCATGAATGTGATGGCTTGATTTTTTTTTTTTTTACAAAAAATAATCATGTATTGATTAATATAAGAAAGTTATACCCTGAAATTCAGTCAGGTCTGAAAATCAAAGAAACGACACAAAGTCGGGTACAAGGAAAGGGCCTTTCTAGCTACCACATGAGCTACCCTATTATAACGCTGACCTATGAATCGTACACTAAACCCTGGATGAGCAGCAAAACACTGTATTACTTCATGAAAAACAACCCCCATCTGGTTATCACTGGTATCACCTTGCATGATCTTATCAATAATCACCTTGGCGTCACCCTCAAATCGGACCACCGCGAAACCAAGCTCCACGCTCCACAACAGTGCCTCACGAAGGACTAGCAGTTCCACCACCGCAGGGTCATCAATTTTCGGAAACTGAACACCTCTAGCCAGTAGGATATCCCAAGCTGGATTCAAAAGTACCATCCCCCTGCCGCATGAGATCCACTCCTCGTAGCCTCATCCCACATACAAACAACCGTGCCCGGATCGACTGGCTCCGGCTGATGTACCAATGGGCGCAAGGTCCGGTGATCAAGATCCCTCGGCAACCTTATCCATTCCTCATACTGCTGATTGAACTGGCGCATAAGAGCCGGGAACCCATACTGTTTGCCTTCAAAGACAAACCAGTTCCGAGACCGCCAGATTCGCCAAAGGATGGCAACAACCCTCATGACTAACTCGGGCTGATGAATTAAGGCTAACAGCCTTTTAAAGAACAAAGGAAAAGTTTCACGAGGCAGCCCCTCACCCAGGTACTCCAACCCAGAATAATCCCAAAGAGCGCGGGCCACAGGACAATAGAGGAACAAATGTTCCATCGTTTCTGGCGCATCCCAACAAACCGGGCAACGAGGAAGCACCGAAACTTTCATCTCAAGGAGAGCTTCTGTAGTAGGGAGGATCCTATTCAAAATCTGCCAGATAAACACCTTAAGTTTAGGTGGAATAGGGGCTCCCCAAACTCGAATCCAACTAGGCTTATCCATCCAACTGACTGAGGTTCGCCACCGACCACTCCGTTTATCTAGGGAGACAGCAAGGTGATAGGCCGACTTAACCGAGTAAATCCCATCCCGATCATAATGCCAGATCAACCTATCCTCCACATTCTGTCTCGGGAGAGGAATAGCTTTAATAGCTTTACAAGTAGGAGGATCAAACCACTGCCCCAGCTTAGCATCATTCCAACATCCTTCTCCTTGACAAATGACTTCCGCAACAGGCAGATCACCCCCATCCAGCAAAATCCGGGGATTAAACCTTGGGGGATCAAGTTGGAGGCCAGGAATCCAATTGGAATGGAGTAACGAAGCCACCTGACCATTCCCAATCTGCCATCGGAGACCCCTTTCCAGGAGTTGGCGCCCAAACAAGATGCTCTGCCACCCCACGAAGGACGGGATCGCGCTGTGGCAGTAAGGAAAGTTCCATTAGGAAAATACTTCCCCTTATAGACCCGGGCCAGCAGAGAATGTGGATCATTGAGGATACGCCAACCAATTTTAGCTAACAGTGCTTGATTAAATTGCTCAAATCTGCGAAATCCCATTCCCCCCTCATGTTTACTCCTACACAATTGCCGCCACGACATCCAATGAATCTTGGGCTGGCCCTCCACCACTCCCCACCAAAAACGGGCCACATGCCTATCCAACAGCCTACACAGAGAGACCAGGAGTTTAAAGCAGGACATCACATGCAGCGGCAAGGCCATAGCAATTGATTTAATCAAAGTTTCCTTAGCCGCCCTAGAGAGTGTCCGCTGCTTCCATCCCTGGAGGCGTTCCAACAGCTTGTCCTCCAAATATCGGAAGGTAGCCATTTTAGATCTGGGAATCAGAGTAGGCAAACCTAAATATTTGTCATGGACCCCTACCGCCCAACCCCCAGAATCGCTGCTAAGAACTCCTGATCCTGAGGGAGAATATTATTACTGAAACAGACAGCCGATTTCGCCAGATTCACCCGCTGACCACTGAGTTCCTCATTTTCATTCAGTTGCTCGATCAGGTTTTCACACTCCAAGAGAGTACCCCGCTGGAATAGATAAGAATCATCTGCAAAGAAAAGATGCGAGATCCGCGGGGCACGAGGGGCCACTTTCACTCCACCAAGCCTGTTTTCCGATAGAGCCTTTCGAAGGATCGCTGCAAACCCTTCAGTACAAATCACAAACAAGAGGGGAGATAAAGGGTCACCCTGACGAAGCCCTCTGGTCGGGGTGAAATACCCTAAGGGAGAACCATTCATTAAGACTGAGAAAGACGAGGATCGTAAACATTCATGAATCCATCCGCACCAGGTAGAGTTAAAGCCCATTTTCGTCAAAACTGCAAGAAGAAAGGACCATTCGACTCTATCATAGGCCTTTTCCATGTCAACCTTCAGAGCCATGTACCCTTTCTTTCCCCGCATTTTGATTTTCAAATAGTGCATTAACTCGTGCCCTAAGAGGATGTTTTCAATAATCTGACGTTCTCGGATAAACGCATTCTGTCCTTCCGAAATGACTTGTGGTAGAAAACCGCCAAGTCGTTCAGCCATGATCTTGGTGATAATCTTATAAACAAATTGGCACAGGCTGATAGGCCGGAGCTGGTTCATATTCTCCACATTATCCGCTTTGGGAATTAAGGTTAGCCACGTGTGATTAAAGCTCTTGAGCATCCTGCCTATAGAAAAAAACGAGCAGACTGCCTCAGCTACCGAGCTACCTACAATATCCCAAAAGGCTTTAAAGAATTTCCCTGTGAAACCATCCGAACCCGGAGCCTGCTTTGACCCCATGGAGAAAACTATTTTACGCACTTCCTCAGGAAGGACAGGGGCTGTGAGAGAGGCGTTCATCGCCGGCGTCACATTCTGAGGAATAGGCAGGTCAGCCACCCGGTCCGTCATATTATCCACCTGGCTTTCCGAAGTAAACAGGTTTTGATAAAAGGTATCCGCGATGTTAGCCTTTCCACGCTCCTCCGTGATCCACTCGCCCTCGTCATTTCGCAAACCAACCACAAAATTTCTTTTTCTACGAGCCCTGGTCACCGTATGAAAGTAGGTCGAATTCTGATCGCCCTTTTTCAACCAGCGCACTCGAGACTTTTGCTGCCAATAAACTTCCTCCGCTTCCCATTGCCTATTCAATTCCTCCTCCAGACGACGGACTGTATCCCAATCAATTGGATACTGAGCTTTGATCCGATCAATTTCGACCTGAAAGGTCTTGATATTGCAAAGGTAGTTTGTGGTCCCAGCTCGGCTCCAATCATACAACAGGTGACGGAGTTTCTTAAGGCGTTCCCAGAGACGAAACATAGGAGTGCCCTGGATTTCCTCCTGCCAAGTATATTGAACCATAGCCCTGACTTCCGGGTTATCAGCCCATCTGGCATCAAATCGAAACAGGGGATGACTATGTCGTGCATAAGGTTTGTCTAATAGAAGCAAAGCATGGTGATCGGATCCCTGGTCCGTGAAATGTTTCACTAGAGTATCCGGGAACCGGCCAATCCAAGTCTGGGAACATAAGGCTCTGTCCAGTCTTTCACGAATGCAAGCCGGGCCCATGCGTTTATTTGTCCAGGTAAACTGATCATCCTGATAACCAGGGTCATGAAGGCCTAGCTCCTGGACAAAATCACGAAGGCTAACAGAGTGAGCCGCATTCCACGTGAGGCCCCCATCTTTCTCACACTCATGAAGAATAGCGTTAAAGTCCCCAATGACGACATAGGGAAGATGGAGAGTGTCACAAATATCATGCAGCTGGGCCAACTGGGAGGCACAAATCGAAGCATTGCAATTAATGTACACAAACACCACAATGTAATCAAAATCCACTTCATTAATCCAAACACAAATACAGAAATTGGAAAGAAAGAACACCGAAGCGTTAACTTCAGGGGACCAAGCAGCTACAAGACCACCAGATGCATCAATTGCATCAACAAAAAAACAACGAGAAGTATCAAAACCTAAACCCCTCATACGACGGGTGACTACACGCCGGCTCGATCGAGTTTCAGAAAAAAATACGAGATCCGGTTTATTGGAAAAAACCAAACCAACTGCAGTTTGGAATGTGAGGGATGGTCCAATTTCTCTCACATTCCAGGCCAGAAGCCTCATTTATCAAACTGGAGCCATTCACGGCTGGCTTCCTCCACCGATTCCAATCCAGTAACTTCCTTAATAAATTACTTCTTAGGGGTAGGTTACTCCGCAATCTCCCCATCAATCTCCAGCAGCTGTCTTTTTTTGTTTCCCACCACCGGGTCACTCAAGTTGGACCCATACTCATTGAATATGGGACCTTCACCCTGATTTTTCTCCGCCGCCTGACCCAAAGGGGTCTCATTTAAGCTCGGCTGGCCCAGATCAGAGTTAATGCCCGGATCCACCATAGTGAGACCTTTTTCAAAGGCCTGAACGACCTGGCTCACTCGGTTGGACTGGACCACACGCTTGGTCTTGTTGGGCTCATTCGGTCCATGGCGGTGTAACTCAAATAATTGAGTGTCC